TTAGCATGGAGGCTATACAACTGATCACACTGAAAGGGCTATAAAGTGAGAGGAGACTCTGGAAGATGGCCAAAATAACAATCTTGGGACCAAGAAATAACAAATAAATTAATTCATTAGTGACCTTGGCATACGGTAAGATGTTAACTCATGCTGCCAATTCAGAAGACAGCTGGGTCAGGAAGGATAGAATGACTTTTAGGACAAAATCATAGGAAAGGATTTCAAAAAAAAGGTAACTGAAACCTGTGAATGTTTTAAAGAAAATCACTGAACACAAACCCAATCTCTCCAAAACATGCCTGAAAGGGTAATGTGTTTGGCCCACTGGGGCCAAGTGTTTTTAATCCAGGTGGAGACAGATGAGTTGTTCACATTGACACAAGAACAAAATGTACAAACTGGCCACACGTAAATGCTAGAAATTTTAGGAAAATCTTTAACTAGAAGTAATAGGCCTATACAGATCTCAAGGAGATGATGGGACCACAAATTGCCATTGGTATCCCCTTGCTATATCGAAGAATTATGAGTACATAAAGCTCCTTGAGCCTCGTGAATAAGTCATGGGGACTGGTTGGATATGAGGTTTTTCTCTCACTCTGGAATGTCTAAAAACTTGTACTTACCCAGATGACTACTCATTTAATAAAAACCACCTCATGTATTTTGCTCTTCAATCCCCAATTACAAGTAACATTGCTGGTATCACATCAGAAGAGCAGTAATCTCAAAAACTGTTAGATTCCAGTCAATTCAATTACTATACTTCATAGTTTATGAGCACAGATACCACATGAATAACAGTTTTAATGACTTTCAATGAGACTTACACAATTTAGGCATATGGGTATTTGTAAAAAAATCTGATTTACGTTCCTTTTATACAGAGAAAGTATTTGGAATTCACAGTTATGGACACAGGTTTATAAACATTTCCTGAAGCAGGAAGAAATTTTCAAATCCGTGTTCAACTTTACATATGATATCGCCATTCTGTCTCAGAGATTAAACTCTGTCTTAATCCATACTTCAAAGGGAGCAATAGGAGTATTTGTGTCATAATACCAGTACAGAGAAAGGTAACAGAAAGGTACAGAAATGTACCTTTCTTTTTCATTCCAAATACAACTTCATTACTATTCCCAAACTTAAAGTTAAGCCCTATCCCTATGTGAATTATAAGGTATTTCATAATTCTGGTTGAAAGAAGCTGTGGACAATGGTTTGCTGTAATTCCATCAGCACTATTAGAATAAAAAAAAAAACATGGACTCACAACTCCAGTGATTCAGAGAAAGATACTTTCACTAGTTCCTTAAGACAGTTAAAATATTTATCATCTTTGTCTCCAGCCTTTTTCCTTTTTTAGTAGATCCTTAGATCTAAATAACTGGAGGATTTATATATGTGTTTACATACATATACATATACAGGATATCATTATACTTCGACATGAAAGCAAAACTGCAGACAAAATTTACAATAAATACAGACTTTTTACTATATCAATAGATATATGCCATAATATAAATTGTTTACTTAAATTAAACTGCTGCAGATTCTGGCAGGCAGTAAAGCAACAGTGTAGACTTTGGTATTTAAAAATACAGTACAAGGTTAGTTTTCCAGTTCTGAACTGGAAATATCTTAGGTTTTTGTAAACAGTATTTCTAAGGTTTCATTTTGCTTTCATGCAACAGCACACAAAACCTATCGAAATGCAAGAATCTGCATATTTTAATCTAATCAACAGTGCCAGACACTAAGAATGACAGAAAGGTACCAGTACTAACATTTTCACAGGCTCGACCATACCAGAACACAGCCTGAAGCTCTACTACCTTTGCACTTGTAAATCAAGATTGTAAATGCTGGTTTAAACAACTGCCTGCATGGAATATACTACCACATGATTGAACACACTTTTCTCCAGTGGTCTGTAAAGATTTCATACAGACCCTGGGGCATGCATTTCCAGGGTATGATTCTCAGTGCTGACGTCCAGTTATCTGGAGTAAGGACTTTGCTGGAATGCTTTCAAACTCTTTACTACCCACATTACCTACACGCCCTTCCCACTGAAACCTGAGACAAAGAGGGGACAGAGGATGTCCCAATCTCATTGTGATGCAGAACAAGGACACAGTTGGCCTGGTGGTCACTCAGGCCAGGAGCTGAGAAGCATTCCTGCACCCCACAATTAGCTGTAGCCTCATTAATTTACACAGTATCACACAGGAACTCTCTACAGACAGTGGCAGTCCAAATGAACTATAGAATCATTTAGGTTGGAAAAGACCTTTGAGATCATTGAGTCCAACCATAACTATCCTCACTATCAGACTGTATATTCTCTATCTGCAGTCTTCCGCTTCATTACGTTCCAAGTGAATCCTAGAGACACCGGCCTCCTCAAATACGTGACCCTGGCACGTGTCTAAAGCAGGTTCCTCCAGTGCCCTGAATCAACCAGCTCTTTTGTAACATAACTGTGTATGACCACATAATCACGTCATAACACATACACACACAGAATGCAAATCAAGGCTGCAAAGACAACTTTAGCTCTGGCATTACCTAACTTCAAAGAGCTCGACTCCACAACATAAAGGGGTCTTGTTGGTTTGCTTGGGGTTTTTCTTCTTGCTGGGGGAAAGGGAAGGGGCAAAATGGAATAGCGGCGTAACATAAGCCTCAGAAAGCAGACACTCTATTGTACAGTGCTGTAGAGATCCATCTGGCTGTCAACAACGTGTATCAAAACAGGACTACACAACTTGAGATAAGAAATTAAGCACCAGTTCTTCATCTTCATTGTATGGGCAGTATTACACGGTTACTGTTGAATAGCTCACTCTACCATCTCAAATATGTCTGATGTCTTCCAGTTGAAGAGACAGGTTCAGTGACCTTATGCTCTTGACTATATTTTAATACAGAGAATTTAAGCTCCTTTTTTCTCATAAATTACCTCAACATGCGCGCTACAATTTAACCTCGGTCTTTGTTTTAACAAACAATAAATGTACCAGTTCCTCGTTATGCACAATTTCTCTATCCTGTTACCTCCAATTTGTGTACTTCCCATTTCTGGCTTCCAGTCCCTCTTTCACTTTTCTTTTTATTTCTCTGCAATTTCCGTGTACGCTATTGTTCTACAATTCTATTTTCACTACCTCTATACTCTGCCTGCAATAACCACTCTTCAGTAATGCATTACCTTTTCACTGGGCACAAAGGATGCACTTCACTGCCTTAGGATGCTCATGTAAGGTAACTTAGGAGCTAATGGCAGCATAAATAGACAGTTCTCTCCTAGTGAAGTGTCACCTTGCAATCAGCTGGCTCATGAAAGACCCAGCAGTGATAGAATCTGGGTTACACCTGAGGGCTGCAGCCTAGCTGCATTTTCCCTGTGAGCTGAAATAGTTAAAACAAACAAAACAAAAGAAAACCATCAAGCAACCAAAAAGCCTCCCATGGTTTGATGTCTGTTCATTGCAGATCATATAAATGCAGGTAAGAATGAAAAGTACATGTTTCTTTTTTTCCACTCCTACTGAATTACATAAAGATAGTGGATTCTTCGGTTTGAAGTACTGCAAAGACATCTGAGATGACACCACGCTTGACATCCCTTGACACAGGCAAGCATTCCAACCAAAACCAGTTTTACATCTTCCTGTCTTGTAGATAGATGGATTTAGGTACATTATATATTACTGTCAAAGCAAGGCAACAGAACAGAAATCTGTGTCAACTCCCAATGTGTTTAAACACTCCCAGTTTCAAGAAAGCAGGGCTCAGTTTTTACATGGGAATCAAAGCTCTGCTTTCCTGTAATTGCTGCTTGCCTTGGTATTTGTCATAGCACTTTCAAAACTTATGAGAAAAAGAACATCCTGTTGAAAGTTTTCAGATTTTCTCATCAAAATGTCAGAAAATAAGATAACAACGGGCAAGTCTATTTCAGACTCTTCTCACTATTCTGTCCCTTTTGCCACTTCATTGCGGTATCAGTTCACTCTTGCTCACATGAAGACAGTTCTGTCCTGGACATATTTGAACAGATTAAGAAAAAGTTCAAACAACGTTCCTGTCTTTTCTTGCGGTAAAATAAAGTAAATGTCAGTCAAATGTAAGATACTAGAAATTTGTTTAGACTGACAGAGCTAGGATTTAGACTACTGAGTTCGTGAAGCTAAATCCTGTATTCCAGAGATGTACAGACTCACCAGAAAATTTCTTAGTAGCACTTTTTTAAATGCCTGACTATTAGACTTGCAGCCATTGAAAACATGGAAGTCCTGGAAGCTCCAGAGATAATTTTTTTTTAATTAAGTATATACACTGTGAAAGGCCAGACAACTACTGTAAACAACAGAAACCATTTACAGAATAGTGCAGTTACCCTCCTGCTGCCAGCACAGGGATATTCCAATACAGGGTACCCTCTTTTTGAATATTATGAAAAAGTAAACAGACACTATTAGCCATTTTAGGAAGTTCCAAATTTGCTTAGCAAAACTGAAGATATTTGAGGATATTTAATCGCTGCTCAACAGTCCTTAAAGTAGAGTGGCACACACAAATCATGAATCCGCTTCTCTTTCTCCAAGTTTGCCTTTCATCTGCTTAGAACAGATGTGGTGAGGCCAGTACTACAAAGTGGAAGGCTGCTGACTCATCAGTTACAAGTCTCCAAACAGTGTTACTTGCTTTTATTTAAGAACTGTGATAAAAGTCTTCCATAGCTTAAAAAAACTTTACATGAATGATGTAATTCAAATAAAGTTTTAAGAATTAGTTTTGAACTGCATGGTATCATCATAAATGGACAGCATGCTGAAAGGACATCAGAGACAATGTAGTGAATTATTAGTGCTTAATTAGTGCATTAGATCAGGGAATCAACAGGATTCACTTTAACTGTGACACACAAAGGGAAGTTTACATCACTAAATAAACTGAAAACGTAGCTTGTAAGTCAGACTTACCATTCTTGGTCAAATACTGAACATTCGTCATCACTCCTTCAGTGTAAGCCCCTGGTTCATAATTGTCCATCTCACCCGAAACAATATGAGCTACTCTTGAAGCACGTCCTCGGATTGCACCAGCTGCACGATCTAAATTGTCCACATTCTGCTCTCTCAGTGCAATGATACACTTGTTTACATCCTCAAGAATATGGCTTTCTGCAAATAGAACAACATTTCTTTTAAGATGGCATCTCTTACACAATCAGACACATTTTAGATTCGGAGTTGATTGCATTTCCACCACACCCCCCCCCGCCCCCCCCCCCCTTTGAAGTGCACTGGCCAACACAGTCTTGGATAAAAAACTTATGAAATACGGATATGAAATCTACACTGAACTGCCCCTTACCTTCTTAAAACAATTTCTTGATTCCTAGAATTCGAAAGTACAGTAATACTCTCTTATAAGCAACAGTAACAATGAAATATTGAGTCAGAAAGTGTTAGAAAAATATGAAAACCACAAAACTTTACATATGTAGTGATTATTTGCAGAATAAAGGAAAAATTCAAGGGATTAAAGCTGTTACTTATTGTTGAAGCATTCTCTTAAGCCACTGTGACAAAAGGTTCCATAATGAGATGAATCTCCATTGACAAACAAATGCTCTAACAACTAAACTAACTTCTTTTATATCAATACGTTAGGATATTCATGCTAAATCAAACTGATGTGAATAGAAAGAGCAGTATTTTTGCCTGGTATTAAAATTACACTATTACTTGTTAAATTATTGCAATACGCATCATTATTACAAAATGTATATTGATTACATAGTTTCCATATGGTTTACATTTCTTCTTATTTACAGTAATATATTTACTGTATTACCATGTATATTATCGGTTTATATGCTCTTGGTGACATTCAAATAAATATGTGCAAATATGTATCTATACCCACATACTTCCAGTACCATTTATCAACATATTAATACAACTACTCAGCACTGGCTTTCCTCCTACAGCTACACTATTTCACTGTGTCTTCTTGCCACACAATACTTCCCCTGTTCAGCTACCTTTGTCATCACCTAATGATAGAATTTCTCTTTTCTATTATCATGCTTTCATTCCTACAATATTTTTTTTCCTTATTAGAGTTTTCTTCTTTAGAATTCACAATCACCTTTCAAATTCAAAGCCACATTGAGGAAATTAAAAAATTCTTGTTTGCTTCATCTTTTCTACAGTATGGTTACTGGCTTATTGTCAACTTTAGTTAAATGTTTTGCCACAACCTACCCAGAGCCTACCCATTTTTAGTTTACTAATTTAAACATATAAATGCTGTAGTCATCTTCTACCTGTCCAAACATACATACACTCAAAATTTTACCTTTCTGGCATAAAACAGAACACAAACTTTGGGAATAGACAGGGAGATGCTGCTAACATATGTGAAACAGAACATCTGACACAGAACCTCTGAAAGTCAAAATTCTCTTAGACACCAGTTCTTGGATGAGACATTAAAGAGGTTAACAGTGATTCCCCCTAGTAAAAAGCTTTAAGAAAAAAATAAACATGCACAAAATCATCCTATTACTAAAGGGCTGAAAGCTGTAATAAAAAAGGGCTATTCAGCAGTAGCACTAATAAAAAAAACCCACAACACAACAGTATTTATCACCGTAATTTCTATCTTCTGATTATAGACAACATCTAACATTCAGAGGGCTTCTTCAATATTTGGTAACAGCAAAGAAACACATGGGAACTGAAGAAGTGTATTTTGTACAGATAACCAAAGAGGCACCTAAGGATGGGCGCTGAAATAAGATGACTCTGTCTTCCTTACAGATCAAACATGCTTATATCTGGCAATCACCTCCCATGCACGTAGAACGGCAAAGCTGCTTTTGCCATTTCCTGACTTTTTTTTTTTTTTTTTAAATGGTGGTAGTTTCCCTATGTCAAGACAAATCGAGCTGACACACTTCCACACTAAAAGGCACCAAACACTCAGTACAGAAGAGACACTTCACTTATCTTGAACTTTTCTTTGCTATTTCAGTCAGCTCAATGGGATGTAATGACCTCACTAAAGGGAGTTTGATGTCAATTTGTGTCTAAGACAGCTAGAAAAGAGAAATTATTATAACACTCATAAATACAACATGAGTATGGTATATTAGCATTTCCAAGTCACCCATGAAAAACGTGAACAGTTAAAAAGGAAGAAAGATTTGGCTAGAGGAAAGCACAAGGAGAAAATCGTTGCTTAAAGACTGATGGCAGCAACTGTTGGGTTTACATGGTCAGAAATTAAAGTATAGATAAATGCAGAGGGGTGCCAAGCAAAGAGGAATTATGTAATTCCTCTTCTAAAATAAATAATTACCCTTCTGTTTTTCTGAACATCCATTTTCTCAACATTTTTCAAATGTCAATAGTAAAGCTGTATTTGTAGTATTTTTCAGATGGCAACAGTAAGGGTTGTATTTGTGCTTAACAAACTATTTTTTGATACTCAAATATATAGTAACAGAAAAAAAGAACATCAGCAGGAAGGATGGAGATGAAGGAAAAAATACTGGTACTAAAGTAAGACTGGTCATAAAACGAAAGGGTAACAGAACTGAGTAAGAATTCAGATCAAACTAGAAGTCAGTATCAGTAATGTCAAGAGTTACAGACAGAACAGATATGTTGTATGCTAATATTCCCATCTATACCACCAATACCTAAGGGCATATTACTTTTTTTTTCAGGCAAAGTAATGTATATATAGAATTTAAGTTATGGTATAGAGAGTAATACCATAAAATATAATTAAAGAACAGACTATGTTCATGGCTTTAAAGCCATAAAGCTTCTTAAAAGCTTCCATATTAGTTTTGGTATTGAATTTCCTTTCCTACACAGATCTAAATTCTGCTTTATCTCTCAGAGAATGTAATACAAGAGCATTAAAAATGCAAGATGTGAATGCAACAGATTTGCTCTATCTTCAGAAATATCATTGTGAAACTTCTCTTGCACCAAGCCATTAAATTATTCAGAGTTTACAAGTTTCTCTTTAACTCACATGACTGCCATCCAGTACATCATTATTAAATTACATTTTAAGTTATACAATAAATTGGACAACCACAGTAACTCAGACAGACAAAACACACCATTAAGTAATCCTGAATTACTAACTCTGTCTGGCATGAGTATCTTGGAATTCTACCGATGCAAGAATTATGAATTCTGATTCAGTTTATTAAACTGCTACGTCACAAAATGCCTCTGTGAACGTGTAGTGTCCATGTCCTTTCAGGTACAATATCACCAATCTCCAAGGTCAGAAGAAAAAGCAAAGTTTTGTAACAGTGACTTCGTTAGCACTGTTTGTTCAGTCTGTGCATATTCTGTAACTGAACTCATGGACAAGCATCTACATGGTAGTAGGGCAACGAGAGGACTGGCAACTATTTCAGTTCCACCCAAGCCAAACACAACACGTGAAACTGTGAAAGAAAGGGTCAAATGACAAGATGTGCAAAGACGTTCCAGGGGCTACCCTGTGCTGTACAAGTTAACATCTCATCTCTCTTTTTTCAGGCACCTCTTCCTGTGTGCTTTCCACAGCGGGAGGCTTCCGAACAAACCAGTTTGTGAATGTGCGCAAGGTTGAAAAAGGCTGAAGCGCTGTAGGATGACGTGCACAGAATGGAGGAGAAAGGACTAAAAAAACCCTTCTTCTTCTGTATCTACCAAGTGAAAACTCACTAATGGAAAAACATAGTTAACTGGTTATCTTGTGTGATATGAATCTGGAGTAAATTAAAAAACAAAAACAAAACAAAACAAACAAACAAACAAAAAAACAACAAAAAATACTGAAAATACTGCATTGGCCTAGAGGGAATACTGTATGACTGGAACACATGATAGAGAGCTCCCAGTTTCCAAACCCTTCTAAGGTATGTCAAAACCAACACTTTCCTGGAGAAAGAAAAAAGCAAACTTGAAGCAAACTTTAGAATCTAATTATCAAAGCCCATAATAATATCAGGGAATATAAATTAGAATGGGATATATCCTTCCAGGTACTGTTTCAAAGAAGACGAAGATGGACACAGATTTTATTAATTGTATATTGTCCAACCACTTGTACTAGAAAAGATGCGCAACATCTTTTCTTGCTACATCCATACATTGTCATATGTAAGGGGTCAGTTGAGAACTTGACAAATGTCGTACTTGCATCATAAACTCACCAGCTCTTGTCAGCGTGATGGAATGCACAGACAGTGCACACACTCAGCAAGCATAAATGACCTTGTCCCCACACACAGGGACTATACAGTGTCAGCCTTTCTGAATATCCATAGCCAACACGCAGTCTCTCACAATGTTCTAAAGCTCTTCTCAGATGAGGTACTTCACAATCAATACGACACTGCTTAACTTAATTTTCCCAAGGCACAAACAAGCTTCTGTATCTGCCTTAGCACATCTAATGGAAAAGGAGAGAAATCCGCACTAATTAGAGTCCAGCTGAGATTGTTCTAACCTGTATCTATTTTACACATGCTTCCACCTCCTGTACAAAATGCATTAGATCAACTTTTGATTTGCATCCAAGAATCCTACTTTCCAAAGCAGAAAAGGAAGATTAGGATGATGTACCATCTCTTTGTCATGAGCCAAAGTATCTAGTATAAGAGTTAATTGTAACAGTTGATTGATAGATGTTTAAAGAAATTGTCAGATTGCCATGGTCACCACAGCAATTATCACGAGTGGTGCATTGTACCTTCTGATCTTCCTTTGGGATCTTGGTGTTAGTCATACTGGCTAAAAATCATCTCTCAGCTGAGCTAACCACTGGATAATAAAACTGTCTCTGACAAAGCCATGACTCAGACTCTCTGGGACAAAATCAATAGCTCTTCCTTTGCATGTCATCTGAAGAAAAAGGCAGGCGATGTCCTTCCACTCCACTTGGCACTGATAAGGCCTCAGCTGAAGCACTTTTTATTAAAGTTTCTCCACTAACTCAAGAAAACTGTGGACCAAATACAGACATTACAGAAAAAAGAAAAATAATTATTAGAGATTTAAGAAATACAGTATATGAAGCAGCATTAGAAAACTCAATTTGTTTGGTCTCCTGAAGACATGATGGAAAATAAAACATACTTTCCTGCAAGTCCTAAACT